TTTTTAAAAAATTCTATTCCTTGGTAAGTGTTTATATTCCCAAGAGACTAGTAGCAACCTTCCCTCCAGGTGGTGTAGGAAGGACTCAATCCATATGCTACAAAGCAGACATCATGGAAGAAGAACTCAGTTTAGAAAACCAGATATTTGAGTCTGGAAACCCATTTGGATGTTTTCTTTTGAGACACTCCCAAGCTCACAAAATGGATAGACATTTTCTACCTCAAAAAGTCATTTATTGGTGGGGGAGGTAGAAGAGGAAAGGGAGGGTAGGAGAAAAACAAAGGAGGGGGTAACAATGTTCAACAAGAAATTACCTTATTCATGTAACTGCAACTCCTCTATACAGCATCTTTACAATAAAAACTTAAAGAAGTCATCATTGTTAGATAAACTTATAGCAATTCAAACTCTTTATAATACACAAACATGTAAATAATAAAAATCCCCATATATATGCTCAAGAGAGTGAATTATCTTTAGTATGCACCTGCCCACTGGGAATATTAAGAGGAAAACAGTAATTATTCTATATTTGTTTCTTACCAGAAGCTTGTGGCGCTGGTCCCCTGAGTTCCTAACCAAGTTCCTAAAGAGGGTCCCCTTTTGTCATTGTCTTGGAGCTGGTGATAAAGGGGAGTTGAGCTCAGGACCTATCTCCTTGTCCCTACTCTAAGTCATTTGGAGAGAAAACGAATGATCGGTGCACATCATGAAGCTGACAGTGTTTGAATTTATCTTTTACTGAGCTAGGTAAAGGGAGCGTTTGTAGACTCCACTTAGAATTGTGTGTGTGTGTGTGTGTGTGTGTGTGTGTGTGTGTGTGTGTGTATGTAAATGGTGTGCTACAAAATATTACAGATGAGTATGCTTGTGCCAGGTACACCATGTATAATTTTTAACCTTCTCAAATAACTTTCATAGGTATAATAATTGTAATTCTTTGGACTTGTACATTTCTAAGAAAATGTTGTCTGAATATGTGCTAAGCACTGTTACTGAATATCTGTTCTTTATCCAGGCTGTGAGCCAATCATTACAGGTTTAAAACAACAACAACAACTATCTGCATTTTGGCTGATGGTTATAAACATACTTACATACATTTTCTAGAAAGTACTCTCAATGTGGCATCGTAAGTTTTTATTAATTCATTTTGACTCCATTATATTACTTCTAATGAATACATATGATCATCACCTTAACATTTCCCTTAAAAAAAGCAACTAAGAAATCAATCAAAAACATTGTCCAGGGCCTTAACTGACATTGTTCTGGATCCCAGAAATTTCTGGTTCATAAATCCAATAGCTGGCTTTATAGTCCCTCTCTTTACCTTTGAACATCTATTTAAAGACTTAGGCAATACTTGTATGGAAAAGCTTTCAATCCAATTGATGTAGGTCTCTTTTCCATCACTGGGTGCCCTGCATAGCCATTAGAAGTGTGGGACTGGAATGAGACAAATATGAAACTAAATGATCTCTCCGTTATCATGGTGTACAATTTCAGACAAATTACTTAATAGTCTCAGAACCAGTTTTCAATTCATTAACTGATAATCAGACTTTTCTTGGATAGTAGTTAGGCTCATATGGTGTAAACTATATGTCACAGAAACTTGTTAATATTATTATTATAAGTATATAATTAATAAACAGTTGCTATCCTAAATTGGGCCATCCGTATTATTGGTATTCCCATCCAGGAATCCCAAATGTTGATTCATCCTTAAATTTTTTAATTTGCTTCCTGAAATTTTTCAGTTCCCTTGGGCAGCAAGCATGGTTTATAAATATTTAGGGTATGTTTAATGGGGGCTTTTAATAAACGGATTATCACAGTCTATGAAGCCAGATAGACTTGTGTACAAATGCACAGCTCATTGATTAGTGTTAGAACATTAGATATTGCCAGTAAATGATGAAGCCCAGTGCTCTTCTGTCCAAAGTGAGGATTCGAATGCTGAAAGTTTACAGGAAAGATGCCCCATGTCCCCAGAACTCTGATCTAACAAACACTGATCTGCTACCATTCTTGTTTCTGCTCTTTAAAACAACCCAAGGGGCTGGGAAGGTAGCTCCATGGTAGAGTGCTTGCCTTGCATGCATGAGGCCCTGGGTTCGATTGCTCAGTACCACATAAGCAGAAAAGGCAGAAGTGGCGCTGTGGCTTAAGTGGTAGAGCGCTAGCCTTGAGCTGAAGAGCTGAGGGACAGTGCCCAGGCCCAGTGTTTAGGCCCCATGACCGTCAAAAACAAAAATCTGAATCTTAAAATGAACCAGTGATTTGCTAATTCTGGTCTGTCATAATAGGGACATAGGAAAAAATTGGTCAATTAAGTGCGTTTGCACTAACAAGGTTCCAAAGAACTCTTTCCTCTGACTCCCTCTATCTGTAGATTATCCAAAGTGGTTTTGGTCTGATGATCCATCCATTCCTTGTTTTTTAGTCTATCAGTTCAGGCAAAAAATAAAATAAAAATAAAATTTTAAAAAATAAATAAAACCACCCAAAATGTCAAGCACAACCAATCCTTCAGTCCACCTATCACGTTGTTGTTGTTGTTGTTGCTGCTGTTGTTTTGTTGTTGTTCTTCTTCTATTTCATCATCTTTTCACTGAGTTTAAGATACTCATTAATATATGATTTCATAATTAATCAATATATTTATACCAATTAGCAACATACAGTGTTGTTAAGTGTTTTAATGGATGATATCATACTGTAAGCATAATAATTCTGCATCTGTTTTAACTCAAGATTAATTCTTAGAGAACTATCCAGGTAGAAATATAGGGTAGAAGTTTATTTTTGTTGATAGGTAGAAATGTATGATACACTATTATCTGTTCACCCATTTCTTGACTACTAGGCAATTCATTGTTTCATCTTTACTCTTTCAAACAACACTGAAAATACCAATGCAGTCTACTTCAGAGTGAAGAAGAGAGAGCACTTTTCCAGGGAATGCCTGGGCAAAAATCACTACATCAAAGAAAATACAAACCTTCAAATTTATAAATCATATTCAAAGTGGATGAACAGGTTTGAACATCTAATAGCAATTTATAAGATATTCTTTTCCTCATGCTTATTGCAAGTGCATAGTTGAAACTGTCATCAAGAGTATTCATGGTTAGTGTCATTTACATTTCCTTTGTCAATTGAAATCAAACTACTTTAGATATGTTTATTATCCATTTGAGCTTTACTTTCCACAAATTTCTGGATTGCATTATCTTCTATATTTTGATTGGGTGTTTTCACTTTATTGATTTATACCAATTTGTACATATTCTGAGTACCAATCTTTTGCTGGTTTGGGATGTCATACATTATCCCATTTGTAACTTCTATCTTAATTTTATGAGTTTCCTGTGATGGTTGTTGTAGTTACATAGTTAAGGAAATTTATTTTGATATTGACAAATTTGCTAGAACTTTTATTTTTCTGTCAGTATTTGGGGACTTTATTAAGAAATGTGTTAGTACCTTCAGATACTGAATAGAAGCTAGGATATATCCTAATGGTTTTGAAAATTTGTTTTTCATAATTAACTTCAATTCATCTGGGAATTTTATATATGGTGTGAGTTAGGGATGTAGTGTGTGTGTGAGTGTGTGTGTGTGTGTGTGTGTGCGCGCACACGCACGCGCACACACGTGCGCTAGTCTTGGGGCTTGAACTCAGTAACTGGATGCTGTACAGCTCTACTTCTGGAATTTTTGGTGATTAACTGGAAATTAGTTTCATAGTCTTTCCTCAGCCTCCTGAGTTGCTAGGGTTACAGGCATGAGCCACCAGCACCTGGCTGTATGTTTTTTGAAATATATGGATAGACAGCTGCTCAGAACTATTTATTATGTCACTTCTGTCCATTGCCAGATGTTCATTATAAACCTATGTAGTTCTTGGTTCTCCCTTTTCCTCCATTGGCTATTGTGTGTCCTATGTATTACTTATAGTTACTATAGCTTTATTATATGCTTTGATACATTATAGTATTAAAGCTTCTTCAAAAATCTATAGATGTATTTTTATGTTTATTTGGATTCAGAAATAAATCCTTTTATGCTACTTTATACACGCCAAAAAGTTAAAATTTCTTTTGAAAATTGCTTTGGCTTTTAAATTGTTGTTCTTTGAAACATGGTGACTGTGACCATTTAAAACATGGATTGCACTTTCATTGGGGTTACGCCTGGTTCTGAACTATCTCTAACTAAAACTTATTATTGAAACTGCCAGAATAATTTTATTTGGATGAGACATCTATTTGGACTAAAAATGATGTTGGACTTGCACTAATTATCTTGGATAGATTTTTGGACCTGTGGTTAATGAACAAATTAGAAACAATCATGGAATATATAGACAGGCAGGGCATATAGAATTAAAAAGTTCATTACACACAAAAGCTAGGAGCCAAAGTGATATTTCTGGTGCCAAATAATTTCTCTTTGCTTCTGTGGCACAAAATTGAGAGCCAACGTTCTTGAGTTTATATCCTTCTTTTTCCCTTCTTACTTCCATGACTTGTAAGACTGTCTACTATATAGCTATCTTGTCTGAAGAACAGAAAAGATAGCAGTACTTATTTAGTTCATGCAAGATTATTGAATTACTGCACATAAACTATTAGAATGTTTAATAAATTTTAACTGTGTTATTATTTACAGAGACTGGTATCAGTCTGAGAAAGAAAGCGATGTGTATCTTAAACCTATATTATTTTCTACCACATTTGCAGCAGAATATGTGCAACATGGAAGGAAATATGAAAGAAGACACTCCATAAGTCAAAATAACATCTCTGCTAAAATCATCCTTGTGCAGGGAGGTCACTTGGCTTTTTGCTAGTTATTTTAGATGGAGCCTTGTGAAATTTTCTACCTGAACTGGCTTCAAACCATGATCCTCTGGATCTTGGCCTCCTGAAGAGTTACAGTTACAGGTGTGAGTCCTTGGCACTGGATCATTGTTTCTTACTGTAAGTATGAGGTCTGAAAACCACAGTAGTGTATCCACGTTCCTACTCCTGGGACTCCCCATCTGGCCAGAACATCAGGGTGCTTTCTTTGCCCTGTTCCTGGCCATGTACCTGACCACAGTGCTGGGGAACCTGCTCATCATCCTGCTCATCAGGCTGGACTCCCGCCTCCACACCCCCATGTACTTCTTCCTCAGCCACTTGGCTTTCACCGACATCTCTTTCTCATCAGTTACTGTCCCAAAGATGTTGATAAATATGAAGAGCCAGCGCCAATCCATCACCTACGAGGGGTGCATTTCACAGACATATTTTTTTATATTCTTTGCTGACCTGGACAGTTTTCTTATCACTTCAATGGCCTATGACAGATATGTCGCCATCTGCTATCCTCTGCACTATACCACCATCATGAGCCAGAGCCTTTGTGGTATGCTGGTAGCTGTGTCCTGGGTCATTGCTAGTGCCTGTGCTCTTTTGCATACCCTCCTCTTAGCACATCTTGTCTTCTGTGCAGAATACATTGTCCCCCACTTCTTCTGTGACTTGGGTGCCATGCTCAAGTTGTCCTGCTCAGAGACATCCCTGAACCAGCTGGCAATCTTTACAGCAGGACTGGCAGCCATCATGCTGCCGTTTCTGTGCATCCTGATTTCTTATGGTCGCATTGGGTTCACCATCCTCCAGGCTCCCTCTACCAAAGGCATCTGTAAAGCATTGTCCACTTGTGGATCTCACTTATCAGTGGTGATTCTTTATTATGGGGCAATTATTGGTCTTTATTTTCTTCCCCCACCCAACAACACCAGTGGCAATAACATCATTGCTTCAGTGATGTATTCAGTGGTCACACCCATGTTGAACCCCTTCATTTACAGTCTGAGAAATAAAGACATGAAAAGGGCTCTAAGAAAACTCCTCAGTAAGAAAACTCATTCTTCCAGTTAATATTTGTCTTTCTTTAAACCACATTCGCATAATCATTTCCTCAAAAATGTAAATACAAATAATTGAAAGTACACCTCATTTGTCTTCCTCCCACAGCTGCCAGTCAAAATGCTTTGCTGGCATTGCTTTTGTTCCTGTTGAGCAAAGAGCAAAATAAAACGTGTCTTGTATGATTTTATGTGACATTCATCTTATTTTATGGGTTACTGAGATTGGAAAAATTGGGGAGGAATCATTAAATGACGCCATCAAGTCTATTCTTTTGGATTTTTAATTTATTATAAACAAGTCTGGAAATCCACATCACCACTTCTAAGAATGTGTCCATTGTATGAAGGTATAGCTCCTAGATATCCAGCAGCCCTCAAACCTTCTAGAACTTTTGAAGAACAACAAAATATTATTTTATTTACATGAAAGTTTACACATTGTCTCCTTGTTCTCTAGAGTTATATCTCCTTCTTCCTTGCTCTCAAACACATATAGAGATTTAGTGGTAAAGTGAATGTCAACTCAATTGCTTTGAAAGACCCCAGACTCACTGGGATACTTTCTTCAACGGGAGGGCACCCCAGGAACCAAGACTCCAAACCAGTAGATGCAATAAGCAAGAGGAGTTTATTTGGCATTTGCGCAAACGGGCTCTCTGTCCCAAGCAGACAGGGAGCCCCGAGCAGCGGTTACAAGCCTTTTTAAAGGCAAAAACCATACTTGGCTCATGGTTGGTCTATAATTGGTTGACATTTGACCCGGTTTATGGTCTGGCCAGGTGGTCATTGTTAAGGTTTGTCCCACAGATGGCTTAATTAATCTGGAACTGAAGAACATGTACTATCTATAACCGCTGTCCTTGTCCTGGGTGGGCTGATATCCGGACATCTGGGCTGGCCAATATCCTTGAGTCACTGCCCAATTTTATTTCCCAGGAAAAAGGGGGTCTGAATGCAAGCATATTTACAGAAACAAAATCAGCAGTTAACAAGTTAATAATGGTAATAGTGAAGTGAGGTTCCTAATTTTTAACCCTTCAGCTTCAGGTGCTGATACAAGAGATTAGTATACGATAAATCATGTATTTTTATCCTTACAACAATCCTAAGAAGTTGTTTGGAAAACAGGTTCAGTGAGGAGAAGAATGCCCTAAGATCACATAGTTAAAGGAGAATGTTTCAATCTTGGCTGTCTTCCTCAGAGCATGATTGTAGGTTTTAGTTTATCTATATAAATATGTTAATTTATGTGGAATGCTAAGTATTGTTAATTATTTGTTCAGCTGAAAGAGGATACAAAAGACTTCACTTGCTTTAGATTAATAAGTAAGGATTATCTGGATGCACAAAGTTCATCTGATTATAAAGATCAGGAAGAGGAAGTATTAGTGTTAGGTTATTGAATTGACTATTTCAACAAATGCACCAAGATTTGATAGACATAAAATTAAATACACCAATATGAGTTTTAAGATGCAAAGTAAAGATAGTTATAAGAAATGCAAAGGCATCAACATTATAACTCAAGATTTTGCATTAAATGTGGATCTAGAAATACCTAAGAGTTAGATATAAGAAGGGTCTTAAAGAGAAGGCTTTTTAAGTAGGGTTTTCTTTTAGCTAAAGCTTTGCACTGAGCACCAGATCCTCCTTATGGGGAGTGAAGTGCTTTATTTTTTATCTCAATTTTAATGGGAGAAGATCCAATAAAACCATCTAAAGCCTTTGGCAGAAATCTGCTTTTGTGAAACCAATAGCAATAGCAAGGAATAAACGAGAGAAGAGTGGAGGAGTAAGATAGGCCCAAAGTGTTTCTGGGCACTACTTTTATTCCCAGTGGGTAATAAAAACAAAATGTCTCCTAAAGACCACAGATAGGTTATGTGAAACAAGTAGAGGAGTTCTGAAGCCAGTTAATTCTCCCCAACCTTATCTTTTAGAAAGCCAAAGAAACTCTCAGAGAAGGAGTGAGATAACTGTATAGAATGATGCACCACAAAACCAGGGGCTATACAGAAACATCCAAGAAAAAAAATATGCTTCAACCATATCATAAGGGATGCAAAAAAAAAGGATGCATGAAAAGGCAGTCTAGATGTCTCTAAATATCCCTATCACAAGAGAGAGAATCAGTTTGAACACTGAACCCACTCATGAGAAAACCTCCTTAATATAGTAGCCATCAAAGAAACATACTCTGCTTTCTTATTCTTTCTTCTCATGTTTCATTCCAGAAGAATGGAATGGTCACAATACAATTGGATAACAAACGATAACAAAAATCTCAGGGTCAGTCATCAAGAAGCACTTCTGTTGTTCGTGAATCTGGGGGATGTCTGGGGATTCATCTGGGAATGATAGTCTTGGCTGTCTCACTTGTAATACTGTGACTAGTTGTGGTTAGATGATCTTAAGTGGCTCTGATGTACGTCTGTCATCCTGTTCCTGGAATCTGTTTATAAGCACATTTAGTCTCTGAACTAAGCCTTTCCTTTGTTCTCTCTGTGTGTCCTATGGTATAGACTCTAGTTTTAGCTCACTTTCATTATCATCCACTTCTAGATGATTGAGGTGAGATCTTAGGATAGTTTGCCTTTCCTAATAGCTAAGAATCTTGAACATTTTTTTCATGTATCTGTTAGCCATTTGTGTTTCTCCTTCTATGGGAAATAAATAAATAAATAATACCAGATGAGTAGATAAGCAAATAAAGAGAAAAAAGACTTAAACAATAAAAAAATTAAGATGGCAGAAAATACTACACATCTCTGAATATCAATGGATTCAACTATCCAATACAAAGGTATAGAATGGTTAGCTGGACTTAAAAAAATATGATCCTGTTGGGAGCCAAAAGTTGAGTCTCTCAACATGATAGGCTTGACTATCTCACTGGAACATCTTGAGGCTGAGTTTACAGAATCCTACCCTCATCCTGCCCTAAGCAAACATTCTGCAGCTGCTAACAACCACCCTTTCCCCCTGCCCTAAGCAAACATCCTGCACTGCTATGGCCAATGAAAAAGCTTCCTTATTCCAAGCATATAAATACCTCGTGTGAAAAATAAAAATTTGCAGCTTGATCAGAACCCTTGTCTTGCTGTCATTCTTCGTGTCTCTTGTCCCTTCATTCCTTCTAGCTTAGGTTCACTGCCCTCGTTGACGTCCTGCGGGTCGGGACAACTGGCGCCCAACGTGGGGCACGAGCCTCTGACTAAGGAAGGAACGCCGTCCTCCGGGAAATCTTGGCCAAGTACAGTCTGAGATCGCCTCGACAGACCCCACTGAGAGACAGATCCAGGAGGAGAGTGGGGATGGCGCACGGTGAGTGACCCACCATGGGACAAGCAATGTCGTCACAGGATCTATTTCTGTCAGACCTCAAGGAGACCCTCAAGACGCGGGGAATGGGGGTTAAGAAATAGGATTTAGAATTATTTTTCTCAAGGACTTGTGTCCTTGGTTCCCCCTTGAAGGAACTACAGATGCAAAAAGATGGCAAAGAGTAGGAGATTATTTAATAACAAGCGGCCCCAAGGTGGCTGCCAGAATGCTTGATAAAACAGGTTAATGGCTTACCACAACCCAGGGGAAACCTTCCCCCTGAGGATGATTCCTTTTCTCTTACAGATGCAGCTAGAACTCCAGATGTGGACCCTCCTGTTTGAATTTATTAAACAACGGATTGATCTCTTGGCTTCTAAGCCCATACAGGTTCATCACCATCGCCTTGATATGGCAGACCAAGGCATTAAGATCTAGGATTTACCCCAGGCTTTTAATTAGTGTTTTGCCATGAGCTTGTTCCAGTGGGAACCACCCCCCTTCTTTTTTCTTATTTAGAAAACCCTTCTATAACTCCTGACCATTCAACGGGCAAGACCTATTGGGCCCTTGCCATAAGGGATAGGTTCGCCCCTCTTCCTATAGGCCCCTCTGCTTGGGGGAGGATGCACCTATGGGAGGAAGAAAAAAATGCTCAAATCAAGGGTGCAGGTAAGACTGCAGGGGGATGGATCCGTGAGATCCCAAAACCCAAGACCCCTGAATGGCAAGCTCTGGTGCATGACGGTTGGCATGCATACCCACAAGCCGTCTCCTCAAAAAACATGCCAAGGCCTGTAAAATTCCCCTCCCCGAGTGAGGACGCTTGCTTGGGAGTGAAGAAAAACCCTGGACCCTTAGAGGAACAGAGCCTCTGTCACCCCCTTAAAAAAAAGAGCAGCCAACAATTGATGGTCAATTTTCTAAATAAGAAAGGGGGAGATGTCGGGAGCCAAAAGTTGAGTCTCTCAACATGATAGGCTTGACTATCTCACTGGAACATCTTGAGGCTGAGTTTACAGAATCCTACCCTCATCCTGCCCTAATCAAACATCCTGCAGCTGCTAACGACCACCCTTTCCCCCTGCCCTAAGCAAACATCCTGCACTGCTATGGCCAATGAAAAAGCTTCCTTATTCTAAGCATATAAATACCCCAGTGTGAAAAAATAAAATTTGGCAGCTTGATCAGAATCCTTGTCTTGCTGTCCTTCTTCGTGTCTCTTGTCCTTTCATTCCTTCTCGCTTAGGTTCACTGCCCTCGTTGACGTCCTGTGGGTCGGGACATGATCCAACTGTCTTTTGCCTACAAGGAATTCATCCCACCGACACAAACATTGGTTTGGAGTAAAAAGCTGAAGATCTTCCAACAAACAGACCCTCTGCAAAGGCAACAGGAATAGCTGAATTCATATTAGTTAAAGTAGATTTCAAACCAAAATTAGTCAAAAGACACAAAGAAGGTCACGTTAAAATAATAAAGAGAACAATCTAGCAAGAGGAAATAACTATTAACATAAATGCACCAAGTGTTGCACCCAACTTTAAACAAACCCTACTGATCTTAGAAGCAATAGATAATGTAATACAGTGATTGTGGGAGATTTCAATATTCCACTTTCACCAATACATAGATTACCCAGAAAACAACAACAAAGAAACTTCACAATCAAATGACCCAAAAGAC